TCGGGGGCTTGGGGCACCCTTCCTTCCTGTGACCCTATTGAAGGGAGCTGAGACCGAGAGGAAGTCTTTGGGTGATGTTCAGACTAGGGGTCCAGAATGGCTACGAAGGTCACTCAGCACCTATCTATTGCCTGTTTATTTATTTATTTATTTCAATGTTCGCTGTGTGCCGGGTACTTTCCAACTTCCAGGTGGATCTTCTTGCAAGTTGGGAATGCAAACCACCTTGGAGCTCAGGGTCCAGCCCTCCCGGCTCCGCTTTGCTTCCTTTATAGAGCCTTGGTACCCTCCCATGCCTTCTGCTTCGGAGTCACTTCAGGGGAACCAACCCTCCACCTGTGCATTGCAACGGGTGCCCACGCTTTCTTGGGCTCCTAGGAGGGAAGGGGTTAGGCAAATTATAGGCCCAGTGGCCTTTAACTGAGAAGCTGAAGCCATAGGAACTGCGGCTGCGTGCCGGCTTGCAGCGACTCAGCCTGGAAGGAGTTAAGAAGGCCACTGCGGCTGCGCACTGCGGCGGGGAGCTGTCCGTGGTTCTGGCCGCCGCGCTCCCTGCTCCGGGCCCGGCCGACCCGCCCCCACTGCAGTACCGCAGCCTGCTGGTTGGGGGCAGGGAGGCCCCGGGCATGCGCTCTGCGGAGACCTCTGGCCTCTTGTCCACTGCAGAGAAACCAAATCGGTGGTCTGACTGACCACTACTGACCACTCAACCAGCAAACAAAAGGCCCAGGGCCTACTCACCCCCCAGCTATTGGACTCTGACCCAAAGTCTAGGTCCCTGAATTCACCTCTCCAGAACCGTAACCCCTCAACATCACAAGGCTTCTCGGTCCTCTTCCCACTTCAGATTGCCCCACTCGGCCTTCTTTGCTTGAGGTTAAAAGTGCAGATCCCAATCCCCTTCCCCATTTTACAAAACAGCCATCCCTAGGGCCTTGGCCCCCTATCCCAACTTCCAGATCCTGATCTAGCCCCCTCCTTCTCACTGTGTAGTGTCACCCCCGCTTTGACAAAGCATAAGCTACTCACCCCCAGTTATTGGACTTTGGCCCAAAGACTAGGCCCCTGACTTTACCTCTGCTTGACAAAGCATAAGCTACTCACCCCCAGTTATTGGACTTTGGCCCAAAGTCTAGGCCCCTGAATTTACCTCTGAAGAGCCGCAACCCTCCCCATCCACAGGGCTTCTCTGTCTTCTTCAGCTTCCCCCACATTCACTCTTTCATTCCATCCTGCACTGCCCCTGGGTCTCTCTGTTTTCAGTGGGACACTTGCACTGGGGTCCTTAGATCCTAGCATTCTCTGACCCCCTCATCCCTGCCCCAAGTAACTGATCCACTGTACCCTAGTAACAGCTCAGATCTCACTGTGTTCCAGGCACTCAGCCAAGCACTGTTTTTGGAAGCAAGCCCTCTGTACACTCACCAAATCTTCATAACAATTCCATTAAAAAACAAAATCCAGATCCAGAAAGCTTAACCCTTGCTCCAGTTTGGTAAATTCAAACCCAGGCTTTTGAGATGGGCCTAGTGGCATGCAGGTCTGCCATCCCAGCTAGTGGGGAGACAGGAGGACTATAAATTCAAGGCCAGCCTGATCAAATTAGTGAGATCCTGCCTCAGAATAAAATAAAGAGGGCTTGGGATATATCTCAGGGGCAGAGTGTTTAGCCAGCTTGCATAAGGCTGTGGGCTGCATCCCTGTGCCACAGAAATAAAATCCTGTGTTCCCGCCTGCCCTCTCCCTGCCCCAGCTCCAGGTTGAATCCCAGACTTCTGAGATGTTTGTAATGTGGTAGTCCTTCTCAGGCCCATCCCCAAATAGAATTTTTGGATCCTTCTGAGGAATCTCCATCTGGAACCTAGAAAGTGCTCTTTCCTGGGTCAGCTGTGGCAAGCTCCCACCCTGGGCCTCTGTTTCTTCCTCAGAATGGGTAGTTAGAAGTGGTAGGACTGTTAAGTGGGGACACTTGGAGTCACAGGGGATTTGGGTCCTGAACTGGGGAACGGGACGGCACCAGAGGGTCTTTATAGACTGCAGCGATATAAGCATGCTGGTCATTCCCATTTTCTCTCCCATGCTCCTGCAGTATGTGGCCTTTGCCTCCCTATTTTTCATCCTCATCTCCATCACCACCTTCTGCCTGGAGACACACGAGGGCTTCATCCACATCAGCAACAAGACGGTGACGCAGGCTTCTCCAATCCCTGGGGCTCCCCCAGAGAACATCACCAATGTGGAGGTGGAGACAGAACCCTTCTTGACCTACGTGGAAGGCGTCTGTGTGGTCTGGTTCACCTTTGAGTTTCTCATGCGTGTCACTTTCTGCCCGGATAAGGTGGAGTTCCTCAAAAGCAGTCTGAATATCATTGACTGTGTGGCCATCTTGCCCTTCTATTTGGAGGTGGGCCTGTCAGGCCTCAGCTCCAAAGCTGCCAAGGACGTGCTGGGCTTCCTGCGTGTTGTCCGCTTTGTTCGAATCCTGCGCATCTTCAAGCTGACCCGCCACTTCGTGGGCCTTCGTGTACTGGGCCACACGCTCCGGGCCAGCACCAACGAGTTCTTGTTACTCATTATCTTCCTGGCTCTGGGGGTCCTCATCTTTGCCACCATGATCTACTATGCTGAACGCATTGGTGCCGACCCTGATGACATCCTGGGCTCCAACCACACCTACTTCAAGAACATCCCCATTGGCTTCTGGTGGGCCGTGGTCACCATGACCACCCTGGGCTATGGAGACATGTATCCCAAGACGTGGTCTGGGATGCTGGTCGGGGCACTGTGTGCCCTGGCTGGAGTGCTGACCATTGCCATGCCGGTGCCCGTCATCGTGAACAACTTCGGCATGTACTATTCACTGGCTATGGCCAAGCAGAAATTGCCAAAGAAGAAAAACAAACACATCCCCAGGCCTCCACAGCCTGGCTCACCCAACTACTGCAAGCCTGACCCCCCTCCTCCACCCCCACCCCAGGGTGACTGTGGTTGGCCCCTACCCACCTGGACCCCACACACACCCCGGGCTGCTCAGGGGTGGTGCTGGGGGACTGGGCATCATGGGATTGCCTCCTCTGCCAGCCCCTGGTGAGCCCTGCCCACTGGCTCAAGAAGAGGTGATCGAAACCAACAGGGCAGGTGAGACTGGGGTTGGGATTGGGATAGCGGGGAGACCTGGGGGGAAGGCGGGCAGGATTGCAGAGGCAAGGTGTCTCTTAGGGTCAGGCAGAGTGGGGAGGAAGGCTAGAGAGGAGGCAGAAGGAGCCACAGAAAGGCCTCCATGTGCAATTTGCAGCCAGGCTTCTCTGAGAGACCCCTGGATAGGATTCACACAGTGATGGTGGTGTTCATAGAAAGAGACTTGGAAACCCAGTTATGGTGGTGCATGCCTCTCATCCCTTGGTGGCATCCCTTGGTACCATCCCAAGTATGGGAGGTAGAGGTAGGAGGATCAGGAGTTCAAGGCTAGCCTGAGCTACATATCCCTGTCTCAAATATTATGAGGAAAAAATAAAAAGAGAAAGGGAAAGGAAGGAAAGGAAAGGAGTTAGGGCAGGAGGGTGGAGGGGGAAAAGGAAGAGCAGGGCTCAGCAGCACTCCCTTATAATTCCAACACTGGGGAGGCTGAGGCAGGAAGGTCAACACATTTGAGGCTGCCCTGGGCTACATACATATGGAGACCCTGTCTCAGGAAAACAAAACAAAACAAACAATGGCTTCCTGGGCCACTGGTCCACTCCCATTCTTAGAGACCGTTTCCGAAGAAAGAGATACTCCTGTTTCTACTTGAGAAGAAAAGGGAAGAGAGAGTTAGAAATAACAAAGAAAAAGGAATGAGAGCCAGGCATGGTGATGCAGTCATGTAACCCCAGTACTTAGGAGGAAGAGGCAGGAAGGTCAGGAGTTCAAGGTTGGTCTGAGCGACATGAGACCCTGTCTCAAAAAGAAAAGCTGTCAGTGTAAAACACAGGAGTCTCACATAACTGGCAGGAAGGCTGGGGGCAGGCCTGTGCACATCACAGCATGTAACTGGCAGGCTGTCCTGAGGGCCAGAGCTGGGAAGGTGACACAGTTGATCTGCCAAGTATCACCATCATTTAAGAGAGGGAGACAAATGGAATGGGCAGTCAGCAGGATAGAGTTCAGGACCCACCCACAGGCAAAAGGGAGAAGCCCGCAAAAACCAAGGGCCAAAGCCAAAAGGGCTCTGCAGGCAAGGCTGCCAGGCAGGGTCTGCAGAGAACAGCAGTGTCCCAGAGAGTTCTTTCTACCAGAAGAATCATCCGTGTCTAGTTGAGCACACCTGCTATCCCAGCATTTGGGGGGCTGGGGCAGAAGGATGAAGTGAGTTCAAAGCCAGCCTGGGCTATAAAGCAAGACTATGTCTCAAAAGAATTTGTTTAAACAAGAAGTCAGGCCAAGTAGAGGAGGGAGGAGATGAGAAAACTGGTGGTTGTGCCTGATTTTTCGTGTTGTATGTGTCCTGGGGGACTCTGTTTCTTTCAGGCAGTGACTTGGGTGTCCTGAAGGAAGGAGGTGAGCCCCCCCCCCAGGCCTTAAATAGGTCAAGAAAATGAGCTAGTCTGCCCGGCCCCCCATCTTGTCCCTTAGCCACTGACCCAGTTTCCCATCCATTAAAAATAGCTCAAGTCAGAGCCTAGGGGACCCCCCCTCCCCCACTGTCACCTTCCCAACCCTGCCCCACCCTGCCCTTTGCAGCACCCCACACTTGTCCCTAAGCAACCACTTCACAGCCCATGACACCCTCCCTGCCCCCTGCCAGTGCTCGCTCAGCACTTAACGCTGGCTGTGCCCAGCACCCACCTTTTGTTTTTTGTTTTTTCTTGGAGGAATCTCACTATGCAGCCCAGGCTGGCCTCAAACTCAGAATCCTCCTGCCTCAGCCTCCTGAGTGATGGGATGAGCACCAGGCTGACAGTGACCACAGCAGCCCCAGCCACCCTCCCAGGACCAGTCCGCACATTCACAGGTTCACACGAGGCCCAACTGCCACTTTCTAGTACTTGCCTTGGCCCTCAGCTAGTCACTGTCCACACTCTCCATCCACTTCACCCCACCTTCCCAGCCATCCTACCAGCAACCCTGTACCCATGCCCAAGGCACTCTACAATTTCTGCCCCTCCAGTGCTTTCCACTGTCACCTTATCCCTTCAGTTTGTCCTCTGTCTGTGACCCTTCACCTTGCAGTAGACCCCCGTCCCAATGGGGACCCTGCAGCAGCTGCACTGGCCCACGAGGACTGCCCTGCCATCGACCAGCCAGCCATGTCTCCAGAAGACAAGAGCCCGATCACTCCGGGAAGCCGGGGTCGCTACAGCCGGGACCGAGCCTGCTTCCTCGTCACTGACTATGCCCCTTCCCCCGATGGCTCCATCCGAAAAGGTGAGGTGCCCTCCAGGGGCTCCCCTGAGACCCTTCCTTTCTCCCCAGCCCAGGGGAGGGAGGAGAGGGGATGGGGGAGGTGCCGGACTTCCCTCTGTTTCCCCTTCAGCCCCAAACTGCCTCCTTCCCTATCCTTCTCCTTCACCTTGAGCCCCAAGTTTCCTCACCTGTCTTTATTTCATCTCCATCTTCCCCACCCACCCTGACTCTCCGGCCTCTTCCCTCACCCCCAGCCACTGGTGCTCCCCCACTGCCCCCTCCATACTGGCGTAAGCCAGGCCCCCCAAGCTTCTTGCCCGACCTCAACGCCAACGCAGCAGCCTGGATATCCCCCTAGTGGACGAGCCCCCTTCCCCCTAGGGTAAGTAGTTCCCCACCATGGCCCCCTGACTCCCCTTCCTTCTGTACCTCCGACTAACCTCTCTGAGAACATGCTGTCCTACTGACCGAGACCCTCACCCATGGTGAACAGCTGTACCCACTTCCTGACACTGACCCCACCACCACCCCAGGACTTGCCTAGTCCTCACTAATACTCCAGAACTAACCTAGCCCCAACTCCCAACTCTGACCTGCTCACTCCCACCCCCACCCCACCGTTGACTCTCACCTGTCTGCATCCCTCTCTGGGTATTTTTTATCCAGTCACTAATGTAGGTTGTGTGCCTGGACACTACGTGCAGGATGGAGTGAGCCAGGTGACTTCTCCCTGATTCTAAGAACGGGGTTCAACTTGAGAAGACTTAGTTCCCCAGGGGCTTTCTGATGGCCAAGTAGAAAACAGATATAGACCTATCAGGAAAGACAGGGACATGAGAACTAGGAAAGTGGGGCCATGCTAGAAGCCAGGAGATGGGATGAATGGAGCAGATCATGAAGCTGGAAGGAAGCTAGATGGGAATCCAGGGACAAGAGGATAGGGACCTAGCCAGGACCAGGTCTGTGGAGATGAAAGGTCAGTCAAGAGGGATAAGAAAAGCCAAACATGGTGGTACACTTCTGTAATTACAGAACTTGGATGCTGGGGCAGAAGGATTGTGAGATTGAAGCTAGCTTGGGCTAGAAAATAAGACCCTGCCCTCACCACACCCCCCAATTTCTTGTTTTAGCTACACTTTGGGGTGATTTCTTACACAACAGAGGTAGCTGTTACTTTGCTATGACTGTGGGTAGGCAAAACCACAGGCAACTCTGGGAAACCTGTCTGAGAAAGTGACATGAGACATGAAAAGGATGAAAAGGATCAACCAGGCAGACAAAAGGCCAGGTGCACAAGCCCCGAGTTTTGTGTGTGTGTGTGTGGGGGGGGCTGGGTTTGTGCCTTGGCTGTAAAGCTCTGCCTAGAATCCCCCAGTGAGGGGTTCAGTGGTGCAGCACCTGTTTAGCACATCCTAAGTTGTACTTACCATACTGCAAAAAAGAGAAAGAGACTGAACTGGGGAAGGGGTGGGTGCAAGAGACATCAGTGGTGGGCAACGCCAGCTTCAGCCTAACACAGATGAGAAGCAGCCTGAAGGTGTCTATCTACCACCTACTCATTCTAGAAACAGCACAGCACCTTCTTTATAAATATAAACACATGAAGAATCACTGCCCTCAGCCTAAGGCTACAGCCCCGGTGTTCCAAAGACCCCCAGGGAGTGCCAACTGGAAGCAGACAGGTGTGAGAACCTTGGCTTCGGGCTCATAGCCCAGAGGGGCCTGTGTGCCTCTCCTATACCCGCCCCCATCACCCTCCATGTCCATCTCATCACTCCTTCCCTCCTTCCTCCCATCTCACCCCCCACCCCTCACCCCCGCTTGAACCTGGACCTCTATTCCTTACCCTTTGTTGAGGGGTTCCTGGTAGGATGGGGGTAAGGCAGAGTGTGTGGGAAGCCAGGGGTCCCAGTGGGGTGGGTGAGGCCCCTTGCTTTTCTTGCATATGACACCAAAATCCATTCACTGAACTCAAATGATGGCTGGAGCTGATGGGGCTGACTGAATTCTCTGCCCGAGTGTTCCTCTACTGCCCTGCCTGCCTCTCTGCCCCAAGATCTTCCCTCCTTACGAGCCTGTCCCCGTTCACCCTCTGACCTCCTGATTCCCATACCAACCCCATTCCTCCCACCCTTGGTCCCCCCCTCCCCTAGCCACCCCGGAAGCTCCTTCCATATTTGATGTCTCTGGCTGCCCCCATTTCACCGCTCCCATCACCCCCTGGAAAACACCAGAAAGGAGGAAGACATCCAGGCATTTCTCCGTTCCCCCAACAGTGAGCCTGTGTTGGGGAGCACCCCCCCATCTGCCTCCCATTCCCTATCCTTGACTCTCTGTATTTCTGTCCCCAGCTCTTGTCACCGCCTGAGACCTCGAGAGACCCTCGGGTTCCCCCTGTCCCTCCCCCCCAGGTTAGCAACTGGGAATGGTGGGAGGGGGTGTCCCTGAGACACCGGGCTTCTGTCCTCCCGACTCCAGGCACTCTCTTCTGCAGTTAGAGTGCCACCTCCCAGCCTGGGGTGCTTAGAAGTCAACCCAGGCCCTGATGCTGGCAGAGAAAAACAAACAAACAAACCCACCCACCCACACATATGTTTCTAATGTGGGATCCCATGAGCTGTGTGACCTTACTGCTTCCTGTCACCAGCAGACCCCATCCAATTTTGGAATCCTCCACCTCATCCCATGTCCTGGACTCTTGAAAGATGTCCATGCTGAGTGTAGTCCAAGGCTGGCTACCTACCTACTGAATTTGAAGTCAGCCTAAGCTAAATAGTGAGATTGAGGCCAACCTGGGCTACATAATTTGAGTCCAGCCTAAGCTATATAGTGTGTTCTGGGCCAGCTTGTGCAACAGTGAGACTGAGAGCAGCCTGGGCTACACAGTGAGCTCTTATCACAAGGTCCCAGGGAATCTCCTCCACCTCCCTGCACCAGGTCCCTATCTCCCCCCTGCGCAGCCCCCTCCACCAGCTGCTACCTCCACCCCGGCCCCTGCCGCCCACCATCCCACCTCGCCAACTGCTGCCTTTGGGCCTCAGACCAGGGGACCGTGGGGAGGGGGAGTAGAGGGGAGGGTAGGCTGGGTGGGGAGACTTAGTGGGCACCACCTGCCTCCTAATCCTGTCTTTCCCCTTCCCTGTGTCTGCACCTTTTCTGTGGATGCTGACTGACTCTGCCCTTTCTTCACCTCTCTCTCCATCTCCTCGGCCCCGCCCATCACGCCTATGGGTGTTTCTCCCCTTTCCATCCTTTTCTCTGTCTCTGTGTCCCTGTTTGGGGTCTCTTTGTACCCTCACCCTGGCTCCCATCCCCATGCCCCCTCCCACCCTTGTCTCTGCTCCTTCCCCAGGTTACGAGAAGTCCCGCAGCCTGAGCAGCATTGTGGGCCTGAGCGGGGTGTCCCTGCGCCTCGCGCCCCTCGCCACTCCCCCTGGCTCGCCCCGGGCCACCCCCCGGGCTCCCCCAACCCTGCCCTCCATCCTCTAGCGCTTCCCTCCCCTCTGTGGGGGAACTGGGGGTGATGGGAAGGTCGAGAGGAGCTGGGAGTGGGGGGTGGGGAAAGGGTTCTTTAAAAAATGTCATTAATAATATGCAAAAGAGATGATGATGCCAGCAGACACCCCCGGCCTCTCACTCCCCACATACTAGAGAACGCCCCAGGATAGAGGGGGCGGAGCCGGAGCCTGTTCTCCCCCAACTCTCTCCCCTCCGAAAAAAAACAAAAAAAGCAAACCTCAGGTCTCCATGAGCCATAGGACACCCCTCCCATCGACTTCTGTAAATAACTAAAAGCTGATTCCATCTTGGGGCACCCACTCCAGTTTGCATGTCTCCCGGACCCCCTCTTCAGCAATAAGCCGCCAGGAGCTGCGTGCAGAAAGTTGGAGGGGAGGCCGCTGGGAGCTTCTGGGGTCGGGGATGGCACTTTAGGGGTTTTCCTGATCACCCACCAAAAGGGCGACCCACTCATCACTATCGATTCAGGAAAAACAAACACAAATCCCTCTAGGAACATTAGGGAAAGGAAGGCAGGCTATCAGCCGCAGCCGTGAGGAGCTCAGCTGGGGGGTGGGGTTCTGCCAGCTGCTCCCGGGCTTGGAGGACTCCAGCTGGTGCGTTCCACCTACGCCCCGCCTCCAGGGATCTGCTCCCTCTCTTCACTGCATGGACTTAGCCCTCCAGGCCCAGAATCCTCCACCGCACCCTGTCCCCACTCCCAGAACATGAGACTAGCATCCTAGACTTCCGGAGATTGACCCTGGCACCCTGCATTCCCATCCCCGCACACTCCGACACCCCACACTCCATCACTCCACCCGTCCACCACTGGCCTTGCCTGCACCTCGGTGTTCTTCCACCCTCCCAGACCCTTTGCACACCAGCTCACTTCCAGACTCCAGGACCTGACCGTCCTCATGACCCAGACATTGCCCAGACACACCCATATACATTCAAGCTTCCTCCAACCCCAGACAGCCCTGACCCCCTGACGTCATACTCCCCAGTCCCAGGCGCCTCTGATGTAAGGCCTTCCCCGACAGGCTCCGCCTGTCTGATTCCAGGGAACTCCCACCGCACCCAGCATCTCGGTCTAGACAACCCCCTCCTCAAAGCCCCTTCCACCGAGATGGTGCCAAAACACAGAGTTTTCCAGAGCGTGGGATTCCTGTTCCCTCGTGTGCTGTAGTTTGCAGAATACACAAACAACCACGTGTTTAAAACATGTACGCTCCAGGCACAAACGCAGACCAGCTGGTGCGCACTGGCAGCGCAGCGGTTGGGTGTTCACATTGAAAGCAAGTGAAGGACAGTCAAGCACACAGCTTGCCTAATGTGCTAAGGTCCCGGGGTTCAATCTCCGGCAGCCCCTCTTCCCCTGAAACTGTCCCAAAGTTATCATAGGAACTGTGGCCCGCGTGGTGGGAAAAGACAAGCCTACCCTAACTAGGACCTCATCTTCCCCCCCCCCCCCCCCCGTGTCCTGGCCCTCCACGTTCGCGGTGGAAAACTCCAATTCCCATCTTGGCTCCAGTATGCTACCTCCCCCAAGCCCAGAGACCACACTGGTCCCAGAATCCTAAACAAACCCCTTTGGAGCAGGGTGATCAGCAAAATTAGCAATCTCTCCCTTGTTCCCACAGCCTCAGGGAGCCCTCCCGCTGCCACCAGAGTGTCGGTGAGAGAGTCCTTGGGCCCAATTCTTAATGCAACGATTCCTATGCAAGGGGCATTTTGAGTCCCCACCACCACCACCTCCAGCCTTCCCTTGGGACTTTAAACCCTGCTAAGACAGGGGTTGAGGGGGTGGGGTGGGATCTGGTAGGGGCAGGGCAAAGGGCTAGGGGACTCCAGACATCAGGGTATGAGGTGAGGACTCCTAATATTGCCAAAGGGTTTATCTTCAAACAGCCCCTATTTTTCCCCCCATCCCTTAAAGAGACAAATGGGGTGGAGAAAGGGGGCAAGAGTCCTTTTTTGAAGGTACCAACCACTTCCCACTGTCTCCCCCTGCTCTCCAGTTTCCCACACGTACCCAGCTTTTTAGTTAAGCTTTTTTTTTTTTTTTTAAAGCTACCATCGTTATAGATGTCTACAAAACGTGATTTATGGCCCCTTCATATCTCCCAATTTACCAAACAGTGTGGGGTTCTGGGAGGGAGAGCCAGAGCCTGGTCTCCCTTTTCCCCACGGC